TTGGAAACTTACCTCAAATGAAGTAATGCAGCTTCAATTGACAAATATTTAACCATTTTATATTCTTTAACTTTTATACGTTAGCCATAATAATTTTATTTACGTAATCATTTCTTTAAATCGCACTGTCACTAGATAATTTCCATATATATATATACAACTGGGACATGGCGTACATCCATATAATGATAATGAAAGTCTTCAAGACTTTGTAAGAATAATTCCAATGCAAAAGCGGTTTATACTCTTTGATGTATACTAAGAATAATTTCTATATTTCCGACGATACGTATTTGGTATTTTGTACCGAATACCTTTTAGGAATAAATTAATTTCCATAATAATTCCTTGATGAATGATAATGGCACTCGGAGCACCGTCTTTTCTGTTGGCAGTTATGTTTGAATACATATTTAGTATTATTTGGTTTGATATGGAAATATTTTTTGCTGCGTATAACGTTAAATTTTTGAATCTTTAAAATACGACGTTCTATTTTCGAAAAAGGGCATCAAATTAATTAATAATAGATTAATAACTATAATTATATCTTAAGAACGGTGCAATTGAGCAACGATTTTGTTACTCCACAAGAAAGAAAGTAAAGGGCAAATTTATTCATTAGGTTTCCGATTAGAACTTTGGTAAAATAAAGTAAATATGTAGGCTAAGAATCTTAATGAATGCTTATAAATGTTTTAATATATTTTTGTGAATTGTTTTAATTTAGTCCGTTTTAAAAATCGTCTATACATTCATTTCAAAATTTTAAAAAATATAACAAATAAATGGAATTTATATTTATAGTATAAGCTCATGTTTCTTAGTAGCCGCCGAATATAATTTAAGGGGTGAATATTACATGTACCTTGACGCAGTACAGAGCGAAATACTTGCTTATATAAAATAGAAAGGCATTTTTCATTGGACTGAGCCAAAACAAACAATTCTCGCTCAAGCCCCTGAGATCAGGCGGATCTACAATTTTAAATTCTAAGTTTCCAATCGTTTAAAAATACTTAAAATACGCAATTAAATAATAATCTAAATTTAACTTTATTTAAATAAAGCCTTAGAAACTCTATTATAAATAAAAAAATTCAATTCATTTTATGACAATTACGTTGACATATGTCTATTATCTATGTATTAATAAATAATCTATTGGATAAAACCTTCACACGATCCTCGACAATGGTTTTCCTTTTTTGTTTCGTAATTTGCATATAAGATTAACGCTTCTCTGTACGTAAAACGTTATTGGAATTTTAAATCCGGCCTCAATTTTAAGCCAATTTTAAATTGTTTACTGACGTCAAGATACATTATGTAACATGACAGGAACAAAGCACGGATATTTTCGATCCCGCTTATATTCCAAAAGCAAAAATACAATTTTAAGGCCGTATACGAGAGGTAATGTGCTCTTTGAAAAAAGTTCCGACGCCAATAGCGCACCTGTGACCTGTGTGATTTTAAATGTCGCGAATGTTCACGGATATTGGTTATTGCTAACTGACCTGTAAATTTAGTTCTAAAAGGAATCAAATTCAATTCTCGATTTTTGTTTTAGCAATTTCGTAGTATTTTCTGATAGTGAGGGATATCTTTTGTTGTCACGTTTTTGTTTGTTTCAACCGTCGTATTCCTATCTAATCGTGATAAATGTAACTTTTTTTAAATGCTTCATTTTCTTCACTAGATATTAGGTTAAATCCTATAACGACATTTGAATTAAATATCGACTAGGTACGATGTTTAAACTTCGGTACAATACATTAGTTTATACAATATTAAAATCATATACTATAAACTATTATATTATAATTAATAAGTCTATTTTAAAAACCCACTTGTAGTAATGTTTTCAAATTGAATTTAGTAAAAAAAATTAAATATGAAAAATCTCAAAACGTCCGTCCGTAAGGTAGGTAGATACCTACTCCTAAATTCTTAAAGGCGCCATTTTCTTGTTGCAGTTTTCACAATGTCTTCAATATATACCCAGCCTGTACATCATATTTATACCATGCCTGATGAATGTATACACAATAGGAACGTTTATCGAAAAACCACGTCGGAAAATCCATTGTCCCAATTTTTCGCTGCGGAAAATAGGCCTTTGAAATGCACAGATTTTTTTAACAATAGCTTTTATTACGAATCACGGGATTTAATATTTTTTAGTATATATTAAATAAGCGAGAAAAATATTTTTAAGGGATAATAATATTATTCAAAACAAGAAAACTATCCTGAAGGATTGTGGCATATACAGTCATTTATTTTAAATGTGCAATAAAAATATTAAGTTTTTTTCAAGAAGTCTCCATAACACTTCCAAACCTTGGGCTGCTATTGATTTCTTTCTTTTAAAATCGAAATCAGGTATATCTTTCCCGTTAATGAATCGTTAACGAACGATGTTGCCCACTTAATGCGACCGCAAAAAAACAATGCGCTAGTCACATAAGCTCCTTGTTTAAGTTGGCTGAAATGAACTTCATGAACTCATTAGTTACTAAGCCTTAAACTCCGGTCACAGACCAAGCGATAAGCGGAAAATTTTACGTAATCTTCATAATCTATCTTTTAAAATAAAATATATACACAAGTATCTCCCATCGCCAACGCTATTTTACGATAATACTATTTGCGTTTTACTAATTTTCGTAGCTGGTTTAGCTCCGTCTCGAAGGACCACAATGTGAAACGGAATATATTCTGGTTTGTTTATTAGGATAGGAAAATAAAATCTTGTATATAGTGACACACGGGTGGTGTGCTATTTTTGACTGATTAACTATAAATCTACGAAAAGTAGATAAATATTAGTAGTTAAATATTCTAACAAAAAAACTCTTCTAAGGATATAAAAATATTACTTTTGAAACGCATACGCTCCGCTACTGTTTATGAACTTTGCTCCTTGAACATCACGTAAATAGTAATGTATATAAATAAATACAGTATATGTATATTTATTTACCCATTGAAAGATTATCACTAACTTTTACCCCATCTTTTAATCCTAAATGGGTAATAACTGAATGCTAATGTTGGCTTTCTGAATCAAACACCAAGAAAGCACACTACCACTACTTCTAATTTTTTTCTAAACTTCCAACACAATATTTTTTATTTATCATTAAAACATCGGATTTATGCTTAAGCAATTGGTAATTTCTAATTGTAGCTTGTATTTAATATAGGTAGATAATGAATAAATCCATAGAAAAAAATGTATTTATTAAAATCCTGATTCTATCAGCGCTTCAATGCTATGTAACGTATTTACAACAATTCAAATGCTTGCGCCCGCTTAACGAAAGAAGCCCTTTAATAGTGGCGCCATCTATTCATTTTTAAATAAATGAATAATTGATTTAACTGCCTTAGGGACCTAGTTTTGAAAGCATTACTTAAAAATAATATTTCTGATAATAAGCTAGGAGACCATATTGTCTTCAAGTAATTATTATAGGTCCCAGGACTTCTTTCGTTATAGGCTTTACTTATAAAATACAATTTATTGTGGAATGTTAAATATGTAAGATGTGATTATAGCATTCATCTTCAAAATGGGAATAGACAATTTGTTTTTTATCTATTGTAACTAATCTATTTTGTAACAATAAAAATGTTTTTCTATCTAATATAAGGTCATTATTCTAGAAGTGCAATTAATTGATTTTAATTAATTTATACATTTATAAAAACGTATTAAGTAGGAGCTAAAAATATTTAATTTGAATAAAGTCAAACTATGCCCAGTTATGTGTCGATTTTTATAAATTATTCCCAGTATTGTGATACATCTACGAACTAAATACACTAGCTGATACTAAAGAAAACCTTAATATAGAAAATCACACTAAATTAACTTACATATTAATCTCTAAAATAAATTTACGGAAATAATGTAAACGGTTAATACATATCATGATCATGTTAATATTTTTTGCTGAAAATCAATCAGTCTGAAATGAGGAAATGATAATTCTTTTTATAAGTACAACACTTAAAAATGATATCTCTTCCCATCAATAATTCAAATTATAATAATTAATAAGTACTTTGTATAAATGTATGTATAAAGACTTATATGAATTATAATCAGGAAGCATTCGCCTCATTCTTGATTGGTCAACAGCATTAATAGACCATAGAACATAGATTAATATTGTCTTTTGTTTATGGGAGTACTACACATTTAAATAAAACTTGTTTAACGGATATAAGCGTATACATTACAGCGCAGCGTTACAATTAGATAATTAGACGTTTCGAGTCCTTTTCAGCAATTGTGGAGAGACTGACGAGGAGTGATGTAGAATGTGATTCAAAAAGTTTTATTTAAATTTCGAATACTCGCCAAAACCAAAACACAATATTGTCATTTTGTTTATCAAGTGTATTCTTACTTTTACATTAAATCTTATGCACACTGTAAAAATATCACGCAAATTTTTATTTTCAGAAGGTCAGTGTTAAAAATTGTTATCCAATAAACTTCCAACGAAAGTTAGAAAAAAAATGTCAAAACACTGTCACTATTTCTGTTTGGCCAAAGTTATATTGTTGCAATACATTATTTTTTTGTTTTGTTTCTCGATTAAAAACATGTTTATTATTTTTTGTTATACATTATGTATTGAACCTCCCTTTCAGATAAATGACAGCCATAAAAAGCCAATAAAAAACTAGCTTCTAATTATTGCTTTTTGAATATAGGTACATTAATTATAACATGAACATGTATAAAAATTCAAAATGTATAATTTATCTACTGGCCTTGGCCTTTTAAAAAATTTGTTTAAATGTGGTAATTCTAACTAATTTACTCAAACATATTTTTTGTGAATTATGCAGTATATTGGAATTTATATGTGTTAATGTGACTTAATTGAAATTCAACAATGTCTAATTATTTTTGATATCTATGGAATTTAGTGTATTGTTAAAATGAGATGAAATTCATGCAATACCAATTGCATGAACTAGGAACGATGTTTGTTTCTATTAATTGACTGAACGTGTCGTCGTCCCCACCATTCTTCTAGATCAAACGGTCTGAAGTTAGCCAACTGCCGAGGCGGAAGCTCTTGATAATATTTTGCCTCTTCACTGCCTCTTTCTAATTCACGGGTCACCTGGAAATTGACCATATTTGATTCAATATAAAAAGGAAAGATGTATATTTTTGTAATGAATCAACTCAAAATATACCAAAATGATTTCAAATTATTTTGAGAATAGAATGCTGCATTATCGCAGAGGACAGGCAATCAAAGCAGGGAAAATTATAAAATATGCATGTATGATTATATTATGTTTTATTAATATAATTTTGTATTCGAGAGATGATTTATGCAATATGCAGAGGCAGATACTAAGTCAATGTCAGTGGTATTCTAAGTAAAACATCAGCTTTACCATGGGTTAGAAAATTTCAAATTTACAACTTTTGCATATTTAATGCAAAAGTTGTAAATTTGAAAGAAACTTCTTGCTTTTTTTCTTAACAGGTATATTTAATTGTTATTTAGAATCCCCAACATATTTTTCCCATTGTTTATATTTTTTTGGCCTTATATACTATGTTTAATCATTAGAAGGTTACTTAAATACCCCTTATTCAATATAACATTCTACTTTATAACCATTTATTATTATTATGTATATAAACACACTAGCAGCTTAATAAGCTGATGCCGATGTATTTTGAGATTTCGAGAAACTATCCAATCTATTTAGGAGTTTAAAGGTGGTGCACTGATTACACTTTCCGGAAGCCTATTCCAGTCGGCCACTATTCGGTTTGGGAAAAACTTCTTTAGGGAATTGGTGTTATGTTGAGTGGTCTTAGGTTTTAAAGAACTACCCCTCAAATGTACTTTCATTTAAAATAAAGAGCTTCTCAATTCCTGAAACATTATAGTGGCCAGTGAGGATTTTATAGGTTTCAATGAGATTTCCTCTTAATCTCCTACTTCCTAAATCAGTAAGGTCAAGTGCTTTCAGACACTCATAAGATTTCATCCTGAGTGACCTGATCATTTTTGTGGCTTTTCTTTGAACCCTTTCAATCATACTAATATCCTTTATGAAATAAGGATCCCAAATGCTGTAGGCATACTCTAATAGTGATAATATAGCCAATTCATCCATACCTTATTCCAAGAATCATAAATATAATTAATGAGATCATCATGTTGACTGCAGGCATTATTAACATTGTTATTATGGTTAGTATGAATATTGACTGTAGTTTGAGCTGGTGGGCTCAGTCTTGGTCCATTATGGCCATTACCATTGTGACGTTTGCTGCCAATGTGTGGTAGAGACCTTGGTCCACTATTCACATAAGTTGATCTGAAAAAATATATATTTATAATTATAATATTATTTCCAGTTTGACTTTGTCTGTGAAATACAGTCAAGAATGATTATTATACAGACTGATTCAATATAAAATAAGCTTCATAACATTAAACAAAACAACTTCACTGGTATTATTTATTTAATACTTATATTTTTTAGATTTAACTTTAATGTTCAGCACATTAAACGTGATTTAATAAATAATTAAGCGTTAGCTTATACTGTACTTTGCTTTTATTAACCTACTAAACATTAGTAAATGTAAAATTAGAAGCATTTAATGTATATTAATTTTTTGACGTTCATAAGTGTAAATTGTTAACTATTTACATGAAATACATTTATTAAGAAAAAAAATATATGAATAATAATAAATCAATCACAGTTCGAATAAATAGTTGATTAAAAGTATGTACCTAATAAAGATTGATAAGTGATAAGTTCTTATCGATAAAAATATAAATAATAACAATTCCATTTTATGAAAAATAATTTTCCGCTTATTGTATTTGTACATAAACTATAACGAAGTTACTATGAGTTTTATATAAGTAATAGAAATATTAAATACATCTGATAAAACTATTTGCGAACTTTGAAATGTGTAACTTGTTTTATTGTTTCTTTCCAAACATGTAGCATAATAGTAATAAAATGAAAATTGTGAAGTAGACACAGCTGAGGATATATTTATAATGTATGTATTGTTACATATGGGAATAATTGCTTTCAAACTAAGAAACGAGAAAATGTGAAAGGTGTGCTTCTCCACAAAAGTACAACAAAGCTTCTTACAACTCACCTCATATTTCGATCCATGTTTGAGTATTTTAATAGCGTGTATATAGTAAAATATTTATTGTATTTTAAAACGAATTCTTATTTATTAACCTTAACTTAGTCTATGTTGTATTAAAAAGTATTTTATTAATAAACAAAAAAATTTAAACAAATACAGACGCCAGCCGCCACATAAATGGGCAAATGTCACCCAAATGTCAACTGTCACAACCAGGTCAAATCGCCCCTGAGATCACCACAGATCGTAACTGCGGAAAGCAGATTTCTCTTCGATATTTCTTCACCTTTAAAACTAGTCTACCTAAATTCAATGATCGATAGTGATTAAAAAGCCCATCGGTGATTCAGATTTCAGGTAATTAATAGTTACACATACCGATGTATGAAAGTTAAATAAAATAAGAATACAACATAGGTCAAGATCAACGTTTCACAAGTTAATAACGTGTTACCCGAAAAATATGTAGTAAAAACATGTTAATGATTGTTGGTTTGGTTTCCAATAATACGACTATATCCTTCTCTCGTAAACTCAAGAATCTTTTTACTATTCTGTAACTACAACTTAGGACAGACTTGAAACTGCTGTTATAGTTTTTACAGTTCTTATAAAGTTTCCCAATAAAATTAAAGAACTAACAACGCGAATCTATGTAAGGCTATATTTTAATATTTTAATAGTCATTGATACTTATGTATAGAGTCAGTCACCTGACACAAAAGGTACACAGATTGGTCAGTCGTTGATGACGTAGCATAGTTGTAAATAACGTAAATGCGTCTATCTAATGCTAATACTGTCTTTGTCTTATTTCGTCATAATTAATATGTAATAAAACATTACGTCGATTTATGTGACCTAGTCCAGCCATAAGTTCTGGTACAAATTAAAATGCATTTTTTATTGAAGTATTGTAATATTATTAAAATGTATACCTACTATTACTACTATTTATTAGTATCAGCAAAAAATAAAAAAAATATTCTTTTTGTAATGGCCACGGTATATTTTTTTTAAAAGTGTATTGCTGTAAGGTTTCACAATATGATCCAAGACTATATCTTGATACACTTTGGCTGAAGTTTTCACTCCTTTTTCACAAAAATGTAGTTTTGTGTCTCCTTGATAAGACACGCCCCACCAAACCATCACTGACGCAGGATCACGACGTTATACCTTTAAAACCACTTGAGCAGCTTCTTTATAATTGTGAGCGTACACTTTATCATTCTGCTTATTGTAGTGTTCTTCAATCGTGATTTTTTTTTAATTGGTAACGAGAATATTTCTGTGCTTTGCATCTGCGTATCGCGATAGAATTTGTTTTGATCGATCCACCCTCTTTAATTGTAAAGATAGATTTAGGGCATGTTCTCAACAACACGCGACACGCAACAACATCAACAATAAGCATCAAGTTTCAGGTCTTGTTTTATAATACGCGGCAGAGTCCTAGTATAGCAGGAATCTTCATTTCTCGTGATAAGATTTTTGCTTCCTAATGGGGTTTCGACGAATTTAGTTTGTGCAAGGCGATCACTGCAATCTTTAGCACTCCATTCCATATTGTAATTTGATGATGAACACGAAAAAATATGTGAAATGGCGTAAAATCGAAAGATGTTTTAAAATAATATACGTGTTCCAAATTCAAAATAATTAAAAGTTGAAAAAAAAGAGAAATTTTTTTATGTACTTAACAGTACATAGTATTGTCTTTTACTATGTACTGTTAAGGCCAGACTAGTTATATATGTTTAGTCACTATAACGTTATAGTGCGACTTTTTGCCTAAGCATACTGACTGGTTGTTTAAATTATTGAAGACAAAAAAAATAAAAACCATACTTAACAGAATTAACTTAACTAACAAATGCTATTAATTGGTTCTTTAGTTAGTAATAAATAACCTTTTTTGAAGTGAAACTTCTTTATCGAGGTTGGAAAAAAATTTAGTGTAACATTTTTTCGTTACGCGTCACATTTTTCGGTTACGCGCCATGTTGCTTTTTGAAGTCAAACTTCTTTATCGGCGTTGGAATGAAACTTCTTTATCGACGTATGGGAGAAATTTTGTAGCAAATCGTCACGTTTTTCAATGATAGTAATAATTCTATTACAAATTACAATTAATGAAATTCTATAATAATCTTCGTAGTAATAAGGTAAAATGAAATATTTGTATTCATGTCTATGATAATAAAAGCCTTTTGTTTAACTTTATCTAATTTAACGAATTTCTGTAAAGTTGCATATAGTAGATCATTTTTCGAAAAATAAGATCATAAAGAAGTTTCACTTCTTACGTGTGTACACCTAGTACACGCACAATTTTTTTTTTTTTTTTAATGACTGGCACGATTTGTACATTAGCCAGCGTCAAGTATAGGATTTTTTATATTTCGTGTTTGTCTTTATAAATTCGACCGTGTCCTCCATGTACGGTTAAGGCACTCGCCCGGTACCGCACAACCCTCCCAAAGGCCGAGAACAAATTTAAATTAAATTAAAACATGCCCTCGAACCGGGAATGGAACCCGGTACGGGGTACCCCTCACCTAGCTGCTACTTAATAAGACCGCTAGGCTATGAGGCCCCCAGAAATAACCTTAAACGGTGTTTAAAATATTGTCAAATTTACAATAAATTCATATCATATATCATGACAACTGACAAATACCATTAGTATAGTGTCAAATGTCAACTCTCAACATCAGACATCAACCAGTCAGCCTGGATCGCTCATCGACTTAGTTTCCGTCGTTGCGGGTATAAGTGTTTACACGTGTTTCGGATATCATTATTTAGTATTTTCTATTTTTTCTCGTAGTTTAATGAATATAAGTTGACTTATCCTATTGGTGGTGGTTAATTAATAACATCAACTAATTACGTAAGTTATTTTTATTTATTTGTTATAGTTCTCCCTTTACCTTGTTATATTTTTGGTAGTTTATAATGGAGAAACGCCCTCCAGACCCCCCTGATCCTCCGGATAGGGTCTCTTCTCCGGTGGAATCAATGGATTTATCCACCCCACTGTTGCCCCAACCTGGTGTCAAGCGCAGACTTGATACTGTCAATGAATCTTTAGTGGAACCTTCCAAAAAACCAATGACTGATGTCCGGTCATCTGTTGATGACGTCAACCCAGGATTTTACTCCCATCCATCTCTCACTGGCTCTCCCAAGTCATACCTTGTCAATGACAAGGGCCCTTTTTTAGTCCATGTTTCTTGCCCTGAATCTGACCCATCCGCCGGTACATCAATCCGCCCAATTAAATTTGGTCACTTCTTGGTAAAAAATAAAGTAAGTAACATTGTTCGTGATGGTGTTAAAAGAGTGGGACGTAACAGAATATCTGTTGAGTTTAAGTCGGGCTTAGATGCGAATAATTTTGTGTCTAATCCCATTGTACCTTCCAGCAACTATTCTGTTACGATTCCTAACTATAATGTTTCCCGTATGGGCCTTGTGAGAGGTGTCCCAGCTGATTGGTCGATGCAGGAATTTGTCGAAACCTTGGAAATTCCCGAAGGTACAGGTATAGTCCTCAAGGCCAGACGCCTAAACCGCAAGACGAACTCCGATGGTCAAATTAATTGGATCCCAACACAAACCGTTGTTCTAACTTTTCAAGGTCAAACCCTTCCTGAGAGAATATTCTCTTGTCATAGTTCCCTCCGCGTTGAAACGTACCAACTCCCTACAATTCAGTGCCTTAACTGTTGTAGGTTTGGTCACGTAAAGTCACAATGCCGATCGAAGCCTAGGTGTTTTCGTTGTAGTCTAGCCCATTCTGGTGATGAGTGTAATATCCCTGAAACAGAGTCATTATGTTTATTTTGTACTGCCTCACACTTTGCGACCAACAAAGCTTGCCCTGAACATAATCGACAAAGAAATATAAAGAGTTGTATGTCTCAAGAGAGCATTTCTTATCTCGAAGCATCGGCTCGGTTTAGACCTATCAATGGCAAAACTTTTGCAGATTCTGTAAAAGCAACCCCCTCCTCTTTATCCCAGCCCATTACTTTACCTTCCCAAGTTTCCCGTCAGACTGCATCTTACAGGAAAACTGTATTTCTCCCTCCTCGCTCTAGACCAACATCAGGAAAATCCTTTGATAAGGCGGCCCATGAGGCCATTACTTCCAATTTACCCTCCTCTTTACCCAATGGTTGTGCCGTAAGCTCCCCTTCCCTTATCAACAATGAAGTCTCCCCAAATGAAAATCTTCTTGACTGCTTATGGGCAGTCATTTGTAATATGCTATCCAAGTATGATGACATCCCCATACCGTCCCACGTTGCCCAAAAAATTAATTTGCTCCACTCATTCGTCACCAAAAATGGCGAATCTGGTAATTCAGTGGAATTGTAACAGTATTCGCAGTAAAAAATCAGAATTAACCTTTCTTATCAATAAATTCGCTCCATCTATTCTAGCCATTTCGGAGACTTGGTTATTGCCGGGTTCCCGCTTTAGGGTTTCTGGGTATCGATGTCTCCGAGATGACAGGGATGATGGCTATGCTGGCTGTGCCTTTTTGGTCAGCCGATCCCTCACCTTCCACTCATTATCTCTTCCTCATTGTGATGGTATCAATGCTGTTGCTATGAGAGCTTTTAATATCTCGTTTATTTCTGTTTATATTCCCCACCCCCATATCGACCTCATTTCTGATATACGTTCTATTATCCTTTCGGTTCCTCCTCCTGTTGTCATGTTGGGTGATTTCAATGCCCACCATGTTTCTTGGGGTTGTCATTCCTCAGATTCTTTTGGGTCCCTTCTACTAGATTTACTCGATGATATAAACATAAGTGTCTTGAATAATGGTTGTCCTACGAGAAGGAGTCTTCCATCTCAGAATCCCGCTAACGCAGTGGATTTATCACTTTGTTCTCCTGATCTTTTCCCTTTTCTATCCTGGCGTGTTTTTAAGAGCACTTGTGGGAGTGACCACTTCCCCATTTTAATTGATCTCCCAACCAATTTAAGGAGCGTTACTCGCCCTTCCCCTCTTTTAAAATTTAAACTGAATCAGGCCAATTGGTCAGACTTTTCATCTTCTATTGACTCTAAGATAGCTGCGCTCCCCGCAGTTTCTGTTGAAAACTGCCTATCTTCATACAATGATTTTGTCAACTCCCTCACCTCATCTGCCAGTTTACATATTCCACTCAAATCTTCTACACAAAGGAAAATTTCTCCTCCTTGGTGGGATTCCGAATGTACTGAGATGATTCGAAAAAGAAAAACGGCAGAAAGGTCATACAGTCTTTGCATGACCTTGGAAAATTTTTTTAGTCTACCAACAAGCTTCTGCAGCTGCTCGCAGACTTCTTAATAATAAGAAACGTCTTGGTTGGCATAAGTTCTGTGAGAGCATGTGCCCTGGTACCCCTTCGTCTGTTGTTTGGAGGCAGATCAGAAGATTCCGTTGTTCCCTCAATTCTTATGATGTCCCTTTTAATGATCCGTCTAGCTGGATTACCTCCTTTGCCGACAAATTGGCTCCTCCATCAGTCCCTTTTTATGATTGTCTTCCTTATAAGTATAATTCTTACATCCCCTCTTCAAACAGTCTAGATTGTCAATTCTCCTTGGAAGAACTTAACAAAGCATTAAATGGTATCTCTGACTCTTCCCCTGGAGAAGATGGAATCCCTTACTCATTCCTCATAAATTCTTCATTAGGCACTAAGAGGTACTTTCTAGATTTAGTAAACTGTTTTTTCGATCTTGGAATTATTCCTGAATCGTGGAACAGACAAATCGTCATTCCGCTTCTAAAACCTGGCAAAGATCCATCAGATTTCTCTTCATACAGACCTATTGCTTTGTCTTCTACCCTTTTAAAAATTATGGAACATTTGATTAAAATTCGTTTAGAATGGTTTTGTGAAAGTAACAATATCTTTGCAAAATCCCAGTTTGGTTTCAGGAAAGGCTTAAGTACGATGGATAGCCTAAGTATAATAACGACCGACATTCGCATTGCTTTTAAAAAAGAAACAGTTCCTGGTGGGTGTTTTCTTGGATATCGCATCTGCGTATGACCACGTGCTGGTTCCAGTGCTCAGGCAAAAAATGCTTCAGCTGAGTATTCCTGAGAAGTTGGTACGTTTTGTTTGCAATGCAGTTTCGAATCGTTATATTATTATAAGATCTCAAAATACGGAGCTGTCTCCTAGATCTATTTGGAGGGGCTTACCTCAAGGTTCTGTTTTGAGTCCCCTTCTGTACAACATTTACACCTATGACCTGGAGCTTGTTGTGAATTCCTTCTGTCAGATTCTTTAATACGCGGACGATGTAGCCTTATACTTTTCATCAAATTCTATTGAAGAGGCATCATCACGCCTAAATTCGGCTTTGGATTATTTGGGTGATTGGTTAAATGATCATGGTCTCTCTATTTCTGTGCCCAAATGCTCGGCAGTCACATTTACTACAAAATACAAGGTTCCACGGTGTAACATTTCATATAAAGGGTCCTTGGTATCGTGTTGTAAGCAAGTAAAATTTTAGGCCTTATTTTAGACTCAAAGTTAAACGGTGTTCCTCATTTTAACCATGTGATTAAAAAAAGTGAGAAGGGTGTTAATGTTCTCCGTTCATTATCTGGTGTGAGGTGGGGAGCACACCCCTACTCGCAAAAGCTTTTATACAATGCTGTGGTACGAAGTCATTTTGATTATGGCACCTTCCTTTTAGATCCTGGCAACAAGCAAGCCCTTGATAAAATTTCCAAAATTCAATCGAAATCTTTACGCATCATCCTTGGTGCTATGAAATCCTCTCCCATCAATGCTCTCCAAATAGAATGTGTTGACCCCCCTGTATTTACGTAGACAATTTTTAAGTGACCGCTTCTTCATCAAAGTCCTTCAATACTCTTCACATTCCATCTTGTCCAAATTACGTCGCTTATCGAATCTCACGATGCCATCTAGTACAGGTAATGTTCCATGCCTGTTATACAGTTTTAATAAACTTTCTCGTCTTCCTAATCCTATTGAAAGTTTCCCTAGTAATCCCTTGTTTTTAAATAGTTATGAATCCCTCATTTTTGATCCTAAAATTATTTTAAACTTTGGAATTGAAAAAAATCCACCCAAGCTTCCACTTGTTTTCTGGAAAAAATTTCTAAAGACTGGCAGGGTTGGTTACCGATGTATACTGATGCTTCCAAGATTCCCAATAATGAGTACATCGGTGCGGCTGTATGGGTTCCTTCATTCAAAACAGTATTGAGCTTTAAACTTCCTCCATTGACCTCCGTTTTTTCAGGTGAAGCTTTTGCAATCCTAGAAGCGGTTTTGTATGCTGAGTCCCACAACCTAAATAAAGTTACAATTTTTTCCGATTCTCGCAGCTGTTTACAGGCAATTCTTTCCAATCCATTCAGGTCTAAAAAAAACATAATACTATTCTAAAAATAAGAGAAGCTTTGTTTAGGTGTAGTAAAAAAGATATTCATATTGTACTTTTGTGGATTCCTAGTCATTGTGGTATAGCGGGTAATGAAACTGCTGACTCTTGTGCAAAAGGTGCTATTTTCTGCGGATCTTGTCAGCATCCCAACATCTCGGCCCACGACCTATCAGCTCTTGCGTACTCCCACCTTTTAAAATCCTGGACTATTGATTGGCAATCTTCTAAAGTAAAAACTGGCAGGCACTATGCTAATATTCAGTATTCAATCCCTTCTTCGCCGTGGTTTTTTAAATATAAGTTTTTAAACAAAAAGGTCACGTCTATAATCTGCCGTCTTCGTATTGGGCACGCTTGTACTCCCGTTCATCTAGCCAAAATTAAAATTAAAGACAGTTCTCTCTGTGAGTGTGGTATGGACGAAGGCTCGACAGACCACATATTTTTTAACTGTTCTTTAATTAATGACTCGTTATTTGACCATCTTTCTTCAGATTTCCCTCGTCCATGTAACCTTAACTCCCTACTTTCCCTCCCATCCAGCTCGATCGTCAATATTTTAGGGAAATTTATTTCTGTTAATAAATTAAAGTTATAAATAAGATTCTCCCCTCCATACCTTGTAGTAAAATGTTAACCTTTTGTATATATTATTAGATGTCTGTGTGTGTTGTATTTATTGTGATGTCATTTTTGTTTTGGGTAACTCTGCTTAGATAAAATTCAATCTAGTAAAATTATCAAATCTATCCTCACTGTGTGAAGACTTAGAACGTGACATTGGCGGAATTGTGATTTACACAGATGTCGCCATTATAAATAAAGTGAAGTGAAGTCAGTCAGCCTGTCAGCAGACAAGCATTGATTGCTGCAGTGACGCTTTTACTGGATAGAAAAGTTTATAATTAAGTTTATAGTTATAATTTAAAAATAAACATCTTTCTTTAAGACTAAGATTTACTCCAATGACTGAATGAATTAAGAATAAAATAAATCATGTCAGAAAAAAGTAGTTTTGATGAATTGCGTGTTAAATATAAGGTAAGTAACCTATCCTCCATATTTGAGAAGTTAAACTCTAAGAATATTTAAATTGAATTTTTAACCTTTTATTGCAGGATGTGCTGTCGAAAGCGTTTTCAACAAATAACATCGACCTTCTTGATTCCTTCTCAAAGAAGGCAAACGAAAGCGATCGGAAAGTGGCTATGGACCAAGCGTTCAGAGATAAACTTTTAGATCTACTTACCGAAGCCTCGAGTATACTAGAAAACTACGTGAATTTCTGTATTGAATCATGTAGAAGACTAATGATCACTCCAACGATGCCTGTTGTGCTTCTCGGAGATATATTTGATGCCTTAACTCTCAATAAATGCGAAAAACTCTTCACATACGTTGAAAATGGTGTAAACATTTGGCGAGAAGACCTATTTTTCGTTGCATGCAAAAATAATTTACTGAGAATGTGCAATGATCTCTTACGTCGATTATCCAGATCTCAAAACACTGTATTTTGCGGAAGAATTTTGTTATTTTTGGCAAAATTTTTCCCATTTTCTGAGAGATCAGGATTGAATATAGTTTCAGAATTTAATTTAGAAAATGTAACTGAGTTTGGTGGAGATATTTCTGGTACACTCAAGGATGCATTAGACGAAGAAATGGTGATAGATGATGATAAGAACAAATTAAATATTGATTATAACCTGTACTGCAGATTTTGGAGTTTACAAGAGTTCTTCCGAAGCCCAAACACTTGCTATAACAAAATCCAGTGGAAGACATTTGTTGCAGTAAGTGTTGAAATATTTTTAAAATAGTAGTATTGCCTAAAAAAATATTTATTTATTAATTAATTTTTAAATAAAATACATAGGTTAACATATTACGGCAACTTAAAAAGTACTTTGTAATTGTTATTGAGGGTGAGTGCAATGCTAAAGCTAAACTAAGCGTTGAAATCACTCGGTTTGGTTGGTTTACCTTGTCTTCCATACAATGATACACTCTACATAGCATTACAAACACCCTCAATAACGACAATTAAATAATAAAAAGTATTTTTTAAGTTATCAAAATTAGTTAAAACTGCAGAACTGTGTACGTTCTTTTGTTTACAAACTGGGATTGCTTGTACGTGTTTTATCACGAAGATGCCCCAATATCGCAAGATATGAATAAAACAAGTAAAAAATACAACATAATTACAGGTGCACCAAAAGACGTCAGGCGAAAATAACAGACTATGTGTATATTCTTATTTGATCGCTATTGCATAATAGCGTTCAAATAAGAATTGTTTTTTGTGTTTGATTTGAATTACTAAAACTAGTCTGAAAAAAGCTTTTTCTTTTTCTAATACTGACTTTTCTTCTTTCTATTTAACAACTAATCTTTGTAACTTCAAAATATGAAGAACAGTCCCTTGAGTGTTGTTATATAGAGTTTACACTGTACATTAATATTTGCTATTTCAGCATTCTGGAAGTGTACTGTCAGCATTTTCTTCATATAAATTAGAAGCAATAGAACTTCAGAAGTCCAAATTAAATAGACTTAAGCCAGTAAATGATGTTGAAATGGAAGAAAGTAAAGAGCAGCATTACTTTGCAAAATTTCTAACCAATCAGAAGCTTCTAGAACTCCAACTATCAGATGCAAACTTTAGAAGATGTGTACTCATACAATTTTTGATTTTATTCCAATATTTAACAACAACAGTGAAGTTTAAACTGTAAGTGTAACAAAGATTAGTAAGTGTAAGAAGTAAAGTACTATAATTGTGACATATATATTGTTAGATTAATAATGTAGACCTGAATTCATTGAAACCCAAATTCAGTTAACGGATTTATCGTTTTCCCTGAATATTTTCCTATATAGGATCAACTTATGTTGTTTTTCCAAGAATTACGTATGCACAACAATTATCCCAGTGACTGTGTTCCCAGTACCAAGCACTTTTGGCTTTACAGGTACCCATGGGCCTGGTTCAAATTTTGATCAGAATGTTAAAAAGGGTAATTTTGATTAAAGTTTAGCAAAATAAAATTTGTTACAGCTTATATATACGGTCAAAATCTGTTATAACGACACCGAAGGAACTACTCTTATTTAGTCGTAAAAAATAGTTGTAACAGCCGATGACGTTGTTATTAAGTTCAGCCGAGACCTTTGATTTTAGTCAATATAACTGGTATGTTGTTCCACACGATGTCGTCATAAACAGTTTTGACTGTAATTTTATGTTTGGTTTTCAAATACTGAGTCTATGAATAGAAAAATTTGTGGATAAGCCAACAATTTATGATATCCAATAAGCCGATAATAATAATATTGTTTTGGATAGAGTTTTGTATTGTGTTTTTATGTAATGAATGATTGTAGTGAATCTCAAGAACTAAAATCAGATCAGTCAGAATGGGTCAAGGATACAACTAATCTAGTTTATAAATTACTTGGTGAGACACCGCCAGATGGGAAGAGATTTGTTGAATGTGTCAAAAGTATATTAAAGCGAGAAGAGCACTGGAACAATTGGAAAAATGATGGTTGTCCAGGTATATATCCTGTTGTAACATCCTGTATATTTTGTTTTATAAAAACAGTGAAATCTCGATAACTAGAACGGCAAAAGAAATTCGAGTTAACGAGTTTTCGAAATGCTGCTGAAATTTCGACATACAGAGGCGCGATTTCTAAGTGTATTTTTCGATTTGTAGAGTCGAATTTCATTAACAATTCAACTGAAGTTTTATAGTATATACAGGGTGGCCAAAAAGTCGAAAAAAAATTATATCGTATAACTTAATATTATCTTCAATACACTCAATAAACAACTATAAATAGTATGTGTAACGCAAGAACTCATCAGTACCAATCTAGTGGATATTACGAATAAGATACAGGTGTAGATTTTTTCGAATTTTAATAAGAATTAGTAAAAAAAACAATTTTCTTATAAAACGCAAAATAAATTATAACTCTGCAGGGGTTGAGCTTAGAGACCTCCCGTAGAACAATTTTTTGCAGCTGCTGACCTCATCTATCCCCTATTTGCGTTTGACCCACGACTTTTTGGCCACCCTGTATATATTGTTTTATGAATGCATTCATTCGTTGCATGTGTACAAGACAAATACAATATATTAGAAGCCCCATACCCAAACAGTCATTTTGGATTTTATTGCTATTCTTTCAGGGAATTCCAAGTAAGACGTCATTATATTTTACTAACTACGACTTACGGATTCTCCTTTTTGAAATTCGAGTTATACAGTATAAATATGTATTATCAAAACTTTGTAAAAAAAAAGTCTAAATAATACGAGATACCGCGTATTTAGGGGTTCAGCGGAAGGGAATGGCAATTTTTTTCGACTTACTGAGGATTTCGGTTTAATGAGGTTCGAGATTTCACTGTATTATGAAACCTTCTTTAATGGGTATTTCAGAGTTCCAAAAACCAAAGCCGGCAGTACAAACTGAATCAATCGATGAAGTAAGACGTGTAAAGAAACGTCGGCGACCTGTTGGGGATATTATCAAAGAATATGAAACACAAAGCAAACATTTTATGGGAAAGTAAGTATAATATGTCTCAACTTTTTATTATCAATAAAAAGATTCCTTGTAAAGCTGAATATACAACTATTTTCTAATACTATTCTTAACAACTTTTTGTATAAGAAGTTTCTACTTATAAAGTAGTCAATTTTTGTGTTTTATTATAACACTGACCATTACACCTGTTTTACAATATAAATGTGTATGAGTTGAAAAGAAATAGAATTCTAATAAATAAGCTTTTAATTCCAAGTTTTCTCTCAATTTTGTTGATCATTCAATGTCATTAAGGTTCAATTTAAAGTTTATACACTGTATAATGCTTCCTATCTCATTTTCTCCCACGTTGAATCTTATGAATTTATGTGTCTGTCTCTTTTTAGTGTCGCTATTTCGTTTCATCAACTTTCAAACTTAAAATTGAAATAAAAAATTAATTTAATTTAAAAGTCTAATACTACATTTAGATGGTGCAAAAAATTCTAATTTACATATTAATTATAAATTTTTCTCATCTTGAAACCAACATTTTTGAAGGCTTCACTTAACTATGAACTGCGTGCATGTTTTTTATTATAAGCTATCTTCTTGTGTTCTGCATTAAACGATTACTTGATATTTGAAAATAAGCCTGATGATGAAAATGATGTCCTCAGATATCTAAAAAAAGTTTTGTAACATTTATAATTTACTATATGAATATTTTATATTCACAGCAATGAATTGACAAAATTGTGGAATCAATGTCCAGACAATCTTGCCGCGTGTCGTACTAAGGAGAGAGATTTCATGCCTTCTTTGGGTAAGAATTATTTATACATAAAAAAAGAGTGTGTGTACTTTTGTACACGCGTTAGAAGTTATACTTCTTTGGCGTATGGAAAAAAATAACTAAAATGCAGTAGTGATTAACGATAAATATTAAAATTAATCAATAAAATTATTATTAGTAAATACTAGGGATGCATCGATACGCTTTTTTGCCGATACGATACCGATGCCGATACATTTATAGGAATATCTTCGATACCGATACCGATACGCTTATTGAATTAAAATTAAATTAAGGTAAAATATATCAAGTTAAGTTAAAGTTTATTATTTTTATTAAAAAAATATATTTACAAACTTTGAATAATTTTAAGGTTTTGTTACTAAAATTAAGAATTAAGAGTAATAATTAAATTAAAATAAAATAAATAACTGTTAATAATTAAAATTAACAATGATAACATTGTTGTAATTCTGTATTTTATTAAATTTGGCATCGAAAAAACTACTACTCGCGATAGCAGTTAAAAGCCAACTGAATGATCTTCAAATCTACGTTCAATAAAGTCTCAATGATCTCCCGCAAGCCATAATATCTAATAACTATGCGCTGGCAAAGATAGTTGACTCGAGTAAAAATTTTGGTTTACTAATCAATCCAACAAGAGTTTTTCGTACTAACTACTAACTGACGTGAGACTGATCATAAATTATCGTGATTCATGTGCAGTTTTTATTTTTCATGTAGACTTTTTTTAGTTTATGTAATATGTATTTTTGCCCTCCTTTTCATTTAATTATGTTCAATTTTTATATTGTAATGCAACAAAGTGTTAATAAATAAATAGTGTTTAGCGAAATGAAATACATAAATAATAATGCTTTGTCCCCAAGCGAATGATAGAGACAATAAACTGAATAAAACGCGGAGATTCGGGTAACAATAGCCCGTGGCTCGTTTGCAACAAACTAGATCATACAAAATGCGCGTTTACATTATTTTTTTAAAGCGTGAAATTTGAAAAGTATCGTTGAATCGGCAATGAAAATATCGCCGATGCCGATATATCGGCAAACCCAAAGTATCGCCGATATATCGGTATCGGATGCATCCCTAGTAAATACTATCACCGTCGTATATGAAATTGATTTAATAAAAACACCAAAATAATATTTATTTATTCACACTGTTGTACTGTTACGAAATACAAAAATACTGTGTTCTAAATATAAAAATACTAGAATATACAACTTGAACACAGTTATTATCGATTTTCATGCCACCTAGAACTAACTTCATTCTCTTAATTTTGTGTCACGGTGCGCGCGCATCGTAAAATTTCACTCTCACCGATTCTTCATAACGCGCCTAAAGAAGTATAACTTCAAAAATGATTGAGTTTTGTTTTAACACACAACTATTTCTTAATAGGCAGCTTTCTGTGCCTGATTTCGCCCTATCGTTTTCTTTTATCGTACGAGCGAATGTTGAATACGCACATACAAAAATAATTGCAAAGCCGTGATTCGTACTGTTATACCCCTAAGATGTAAGCCTTAATGCTAACATAGTACTACGTACAGTCATGTCATCATAAGTTAAATGAGATAGATACTACTCCGTTTGGTAGCTTTCAGTCTTATCCAGAACGATTGTTTTATTCCCTACTAATTACGAGTCTTTAAATCCTGTATTTGTATTAATCATTTCAAGTTATTGATTAATATACATAATTAACTAGCTCGAGCGGTCCGTGTATTGCGAATATGAATTTAGTATGGAAATTGGAAAGTGCAGGTCGCCGTCTATGGTCCGCTTAACAGTACGCTCTCAGGGTTGAAAGGCGTTTACTTAAGCCTAGGCCAACAGTGCTCCATACTAAAACTTATAAATCTACTGAACCGATTTTAAAACTTACCAGTATAACGCTACTTTATCAGCAAAGACATATCATTAGGAGCAGATCAATGTCCAATATTGAAATATTCAATTAATGCCGGAAAAATATAACTAACTGTTGTGTATCTGGCAGAATGACCAGCCCCAGTTACAACCACAACACACACTTACATTACACACTTATATATTTTTTTTCTTTTCATATTTATTGTTATTTTTCTGTTTTTAATTGTTATTATTTTGTGTGTTTCTGTAGTAATAAATGTTATGGTCTTCATACAAAAAAAAATACATAAATTCTATGTATTTTAATAATTTTTGAGACAAGTGTACCAATGAATGTGTGTTTTTATGTTTATTGCAGAGTATATGTTATCTGGTGAGAGTAGTAGTGGGAGTGGCGGTGGGTGGGGCTGGCGAGCTTTGAGGCTTTTAGCTCGGAGATCGCCGCATTTCTTTGTACATACAAATAATCCTATTGGACGGCTATCGGATTATTTGGATGATATGGTTAGTATTTAATTGTTTATACATATTTGAAATGAAATTGAGAGAACAAATAGATACATTTTAATTAAATGTTGGATAACTTTAATTATAAGTCGATTTTTGTTCTATAATGTAATAGGTAACTTTAAAAAAAAAATGTGTATTTTGTTGTAACTCCATGCGCAGTTTAAGTATTACGTCACGCAATTTTTGGAGAGTATTGACCTCCCCCCCATGTAACGCGCCGTAACGTTTTTCTGTACCAAAGTATAGTACAACATTTCGTGACCACCCAGTGACTCTTTATACCAAAGAGTTACCAGTATGTGGTGTAAAGTACTGGAAAGTCGAAAATAATATTAACAATAACGCGTAATTCGATCCTCGCCCCGTTTCGTACGTTGTACAAAAGGACCCCCCCAATTTTCGTTACGTAATACTTGAACGCTCCCTTAATTCGTTTAGATACATTTCAAATCTAAATATAATTTGTAAAAGTAAATTTTTTTTTTTTATTATATGGTATTTATTTGCTATAATTATTTTAGGTAAAACGTATTTCACGTGAAGTTGCAGCCAGTGCGACTGCTAACACGACTAATGGAGACCCGTCTGCTGTCGAAGATAAGAAACCGGTGACTATTATTATTAGTATATATATGTCGGAGATTCGTAACTCCATCGATATTGACATCATCATTAGCGGATTTAGGGCGTCATGTTGGTAAAGTGAAGCACAACAGATACAAATAATAATTGTAATGATTTATATATAGTATTTGGTTTACGCGAGTTTATATATGTAAAAAAACGTTCGAGTGCTTTAGCTTGATCTGTATGTAAGGGTTACTGGAATTTGATAATATTTGAGAGACGTGTAAACTTTGTAAGTTTTGTCCACAAATTTCTTTGAAAGTAAAAGCAATATCGAGAGGGGAACGGAATGTTGGTTAACAAATTATAATTTTTTTCTCCTCTCTAGGAATTGCAAGAAGAAGAAATGACTGAAGAGCAAATTGAAACAGACCTTATAAAGGATGGAGACACTGATATAGAACAGGTAACATTGATAATATAATTTTATGGTCAAAAAAATTTAATGACTTCGAACACAGATTATCGAAATTTAAAAAGCGAGATAAGTCAAAGACTATAGAACTGATAATTAATAATCCGTGGTCATACAAACCTTGTGTAAATGACATTTGATTTGTGTAGATGTGAACATTACACCGTCTTTTGTTTGAGCAAAAATATTAATATTATTTTTTTTAATTGCGAATTAAGTCTTGTTGAAGTTTGAAGTTTAAATATGACAAGATTAAATAATAGATAAAATAAAAAAGTACATAAAATCATGCTTGTAACACATATTTCTCATTCTCTTAGGTGCCAGATTCAACAGACGCGAACGATGAAGACAAACCAACTAGAACTCGTCTCACAATGATAACCGACTCTCAATTAGACGTATTAGTTGCAAATCTCTCTGACTGGAAGAAATTGGCAGCAAAACTTGGCTACAAACCCGACGAAATAGAGTTCTTTGAGACAGAGAACGCGACAGATGAAGCAAGAGCCAAAAATATGCTTAAACTGTGGTTTGATGATGACGAAGATGCATCTGTCGAGAATTTACTCTATATTATGGAGGGGTTGGAGTTGGTTGACGCTTGCGAAGCGTTGAGAAACGCTAAATGACAGTCAAAACGTAGGCGTATTGCCTACAGAAGGGTTATTCAATAAAATATAATGTTTGTGTCTTAATAAACCTGTAAAGATTGTATGCAGTATGTGTTTTATTTTCTGACTAATATTCGAAGATAAAAAAGAACACCTTTTTTGAGTTCACGCAGTATGTAAAAACCCCTCACAAAATAATTGATCGTAGTGACTTCATCTATCTATTATTAAGATAAAATGTGGCTTAATATTTAATTCTAATTGGTGGAAAATTTTGATTCTAAGTAGTTATTTCGACGTAAAATACACTATTTCATAATCAATATTTAGAGCAAAATGTACATGAATTTCCGTCGGAAACTCATTCGGTTTAAATTTATAAAACCATTAAACAATGTCGGCCGATCCGAAATTATAACTTGCGCGTATTTCCTCATCGCCGCTGACTCAGTCGCCCCAAAACAGAACTTATTACTTACAAATATATCGGCCATACATTCAAACAAGAATAACCCTTATTACAAGGAATTAAGAGCTACTTTAAAAACTTTGCAAAAGAGTATAACAACCAATTTATGTTGACCCGTAAGCGCAAAGCGCTGTTATTAATTCAAGAGGCACTCGTAACGATGCAGCGTGCTTTGCAGATCAAGATACGGTGGTCGTCATTCACCGCCGGTGTTTACAGAATCGCGGAATAGTGGCTGCACCGAATTTAGTTTGAAACGTATACGTCAATGGACAGACGGGGCTTAGGTAGTACGCGGACGGTCGATCTTAAATTATTTATATTTTTATGATCCGATACTGGACTAGATATTTTTATATTAAAAATAATGGAGGAACGGGCATGACGTGCGTGCGATATATTGTGGATTGTGCGAAAGCGGTAAGTACGAAACTAATACGAATTAAATCAGTATTATAAGGTATTTATTTTCCTTTAATCAAACAAAAATTATAGTTATGTTAAACTAATTATTATAAAGTTTATATGTAATATAAAATATGTTATATATAAACTTAAACGAATAAGTGTAAACATATATTATTACCCATTCCTTGCTATAGAATATAAGAGGTATATTTTTAAGGCTACTCTAAAAGCCTTAAATTAAATTTACATGTCTTGACTGTCACTGCGCATATGTTAAGCGACTTTAAAAAAACCCCAGTGCCAGTATGTCATTTATAAAACGTCGTAAGTGTGCGTCTACTTTTTCGAAAGAGACGAACATATTGACTGACAGGAAATAAAATTAAAAAAAGAATCAACCATCCATCCACAAGAAAACATCAAGATCTTTAAAATATCCATTATATGTGAATTTAGAACTTTTTTAAATTAGCTATATTATATTCAAAATGTATACAAATTTAATCACATTTATATGATAATATGTATTTCAGGCAGTTAATAAAATATCGCGTCGTTTATGTGGAAACTAGTAAAGTTTTACGACAAATATAAAGATAAAAGTTTCAGACGAAAATTCCAGACACTAGCCTACGTATATTTTTAAACACCTAGACATAGTTGACTATCAATTTAAATATCCAACCAATGATAGATTTGTATGTTTCTTAAAAATGGTTTGAGTCTCAACTACTTAACTTATTCAAAAATAAAAATAATGTTTATTTATTTACACTTCGTTACATTTATAGAAAAAAATAACAATATAAAAATTATTAGGAATGCTAACAAGCGATCTCTTCCAGGCAACCCTGGTAAGGAAAAAAGCAAAAAAAATAAACATGACGGGTAAAGTGCAAAACTAAATCTTATATAAAAAATATAGAATCACCAACCTGAATCTAAAAAAAAAAATTTTTATATAAAATAAACTAAAAATAAGAAATACAAGAATTACAAAAGTGCCGATTGAGCAGGATAGGATATGGTTAAGAAATGTTTTTAAATGTAGAAGAGTTTTAAAAGTTGAAGGGAAAATGTTTTTTGTCTTTTCGGTCTCATTTTTTATCAGATTGGACAAATTGCAACGATTTCCTCCTGTAGCGACCATGTGCGGCAACTATATGTTACGATAATATTGCAGTTTCATATGTAAGTATATATGTCTTATCATTAGTAGGTATGTGTTTAGTAGAATTTTATGATTTTTTTTTGACACGACAAAGCAATCAATACGTTTTCGTAGAATTTTATACGTTTATCGTGATTTTGTCATAAACTTGGTAACTTGAACAACACTTATATGTTCTAAATATAATCTAGAGCGCTTAGTATTATGCCTTCAATGCTGCTTTGGCAAAAACCTTACTCATAAAAACTGTAGCGACATCTTAGGCTACTCAGTACGACGACGTCATACCTGATACGATACGTTATACCTGAAACGCGTTATCAAAATTATTCCGACCACTAAGGATAAACACAACTCCTAATGGCCATTGGGTCCACGGGCTAGTCAATGCCAATTAGTCAAAGATTCTTTAGGTAGAACAGCATCTTCCTTCCTCTACAAAGCTAAAAGTATGTTCACTATTTTAGCTACAGTAATTTTTCATATCTTTCTGTGAAATTGTGATTACGCTGTGATGAAGAGAGACAGATGAGTAGATAAAAGAAATAGATGACAACACAATAGATTATGTATCAGATACTTTAGTTAATACGGTGCAATTAGACTGATTTTTAAATAACGTATTGGCGAAATTCAATGGGTACCAAAAACCTATCATTATCGCCTTTGAGGACTATGGTAAAGCGTTTGATAGTCTAGAAGTATGGGCTGTAGAGAAGGGCCTTGCAGAATGCAGGTTATATCACTATGTAGACATCTTGAAACACATTCAAAAGCAAGTCTTGTCATCCTGTGCTACATGAGAAAAACCGAAAAATATCGACTTAAGAGGGGTGTACGACAGGGGGATATGATATCGCCGAAACTGTTCACAACAGCCCCTTTAAAGAAATTGCATTGAGACAACAGAGGCTCTTTTATCTCTGCCTTTCAATAAATTTAAGAAATGTATTAAAGAAAAGCTGTGTAAAAAGGCTTACTATAAAGTCAACGATTATCTAGTTGATAAAAGGGCCTGGGACTAGTGCTAGACAGGCTACTTCTAATTAATTTGCGATATTTGTTTTAAAATAAGTGTTGTTTGATGATTTGCTATTTTAAAAGAGTACCGAGAGTTTTTTACGCCGGCTTTTTCTCTCGGCCTTCACCCTCTGTCTTCTTTGCCGATGAGTAGGGATGCCTACAAATTCAAATTTAATGACGTGGAATAAGTGATACATGTATCTTATGTTCCTTAATAAACATATTTTATTTTAATTTTATTTTAAATAATAACGATGGAAATGTTAGGTCACTATTTGCCAACAATAGATGTGATACTCAGGCTGAAGTAAATAAATATATCGCACGCGTGGTCGGCTTTAGAAGCCAATCATATCGATCAGCCGAGATATTAAGTCACATAGAGAGCAACGGTGGGAACCTTTCTTCGCGACTGAATTCGTAGAACAACAGAACAGGACCCATGAAATTACTAAATTCATGACCATAAAATGGAGGTGATCAGGCCATATAGCGTACATGGCAAAGACCCGATGGACCCAAAGGCTCCTTAAACGGAAACAGAACAAAAGATCGCCTGGAGATGGACCGACGTCATCACAAAGCATGCAGGCTGCAAATGGATTTAAAAAGCACAACACCGGTCTATCCTCTGATAATTGGAGGCCTATGTCCAAAGATGGACTGGGCATAGGTATGGTATATATAAAGCATACCGGCTTTTTTCAATTTGAGTGACCATTCGAATTAATTTCTCGTTCAAAATAAAATAAACACTAGCATTTTATTACGACGTTGAAATTCAAATAAATGTCCCCCGTGAAAGACAAATGGTCGGTGACATAAATGTGTCTGTCAGGTGTATAATTACGACTAAACTGCCAACGCATTCACATTAAGAAGATAATGAATTTTTAAATGAAAGAATGTCATTCAAAACTTACAGTGATAAGAGTACTTATATGTATTGGTAGATTTATATAATTTTATATTTTCGTATCTGAAGAATAGTGCACTCAACACGGAATGAATTAGGTACTTCATGAACGCATAGGAATTTATTATGGAATAAGCCAAAGAGCAAAAGCTTCCAATTGGGTAAACTTATTTGAAACCTTATTAAAGTATGTAACCGTTAATTCCTTATGAAATTAATTTTGGTTTAGATTGTTTAAACCGCTCCACGTTTAATTTAGTGTTGGCAAAAGTAATTAAAAAAACAACTTCAATTACCTGTCAAATGTAAAAACAATCTAGTTTTATTATTAAACCAAAAATTCGTCGATATGATTTTGATGGAACTTGGACTGTTAGTCAGTAAACCTGATTTAACGGATCATCTTTTATAAATTTGTGGAAAAACATACATTCATTTACAAAAATTTCACACTTGGAAGCCACAAACATCATGAAATTCACAAAGATAATCAACTCAGGTCAAACGGATACTCTCCTATTTTGGAGATAGTTAAACGGACCTTAAAATGATAATTAAATCCGACGCATAACAGACTTTCAATTCCTATTCCAACAAAACAAATGCCACGCAAAACATCAACCACACCAACACTGATTGATCTTAAATTATTGCAACAATAACAAAATAAAAGCATGATAATTTATTTAGACGCCCCTGGCTTATATTTTTAAATCTAAATAAACACTTTGAAGCTTGCGGAAAATATTTCAGCACCTTTTAGAATGTATTTTCGTGATAGCTGGATTAAGCGTACAAAATGTTTTATACGAATACAGCCAATAAATTACTAAGTACGGGTATAAGCTCGCGAAACAGAACATTATTTACCGTTTTATTTAATTTAGAAAGAAAAACTTGAATGAGCTTCCAATTCGACTTTTATGTATGCACATTATTCCTTTTCAATAATCAAATCTACGCGTTAACCATTCATTATTTCCAATGTAAAAATTTATATAAATAGGTGAAGAAACGCAACATTATGAATG